TAAGAAATGGATATTTATTTTTTTATTTTATATTTCTTGTGACCATTTAATGTCAGATGTCATAAACAAAAGGATTACTCCAATGTCACCAAAACCTCTCATCAAATTTGTTGAGCAATTAGTTTGGTCTCAACTTTGATCTCAATTTTTGTCTCACAATTCAGTGAATTTGCTATAAATCTTACGATAGGAAAACACAACAACAAAACAAAAAACTATTTCAAAACACGTCTAAAAATAGGGACAAAAATATAACAGAAAAACATAAGTAAATTAAAAACTAAAATTTTTATTTAATAAGAAATAAATCATTAAAATCTGTTTAATACATCAATTATTTGTTACGACAAAAGGATTACCAATATTTTCGATGTAATATAAAAATTATTAAATTTTTTACTCAAATATTACTTTTCAATAAATTCATTAAATATAAAGTAAATAATAATAAATCACAGGAAATAAGTTTGGTTTACGAAATAGTTGAATAAAAAGGATTTTCTGATTATATACAGAAAGTAATCTCGAAAAAAGAGATTTTTAATTAAATATAGAAAAACGAGAGAAAATCTAATAAAAAGCGGAGAAATTTATTTTACGCCAAATTTGTCACGTCTCTTTGAATACGGGCTTTTACATATATATTAACTTGCGTTTCAAAAATCAATTTTTATTTACGTTAAAACATAATTATTAAGCAACGACTAAATCAAGTGTCATATAGAATGAAACTCAAAAGATGTATAACAAAAAAAAGTTAAAATGAATGAAAACATAGAAATGAAATAAAATTAAACATTAAAAGCGTAAACTAAAATCCGCTAAAAATGAATATAAAAATAGATAATAAAAAACTTTGCAATAAAGTATAGACTAATATATGGTCCAATAATAATAATAATACAGTAATAAAAGATAAGTAGAAGTTTGTCTGAAAGCCTTGTGAATAAAAGTGTAGTGAAAATAATATTTTCTTTAAGTCTCACTGACATCAAGAATATTCTTATACCCAATGTTTGTGTGCACTGTATATAACTTGTCGCACATATACAGTATACCGAGAATATTCTCGCTGCCAGTGTATTGGCTACCAATGGATGTGATACTGGATTATGTGTGCGCGCAAGCAATGGATAGGATGTAGGCGCCCTCAGTATATTTAGCGTATATCATATGTGAGGCATAGTTTTGAGTGGTTGGGCACAGACGCTGAATGCTCGGGATAATGGCATTCACCTCAGGCTATGTAACACAATAAGTCTCTGTCGACTCGAAAATTATTTGGATATTAGCTTTGACTCACTTTTAAGCACAAGTAAATGCTTCTCTCTCTCTCTCTCTCTCTCTCTCTCTCTCTCTCACCCGACGACTCCACTCATATATAACACGAGTATTTGTTTTATATCCTCTCCTTCTCTCTCCAATTTGACTCCGACTCCTAAATCGTTATAAAAATATATTTATAAACACTTTTTTCTGCTCAACATTTGCTCTTCAAACAAATGAATCGCATTTAAAACTTTTCATTTACTTCTTTTCAGTTGACTTTTT